TATAAAACATTATTGTCCGTGTTAAATAATATTTTGAACATGTTGCCGTACATTTTACAATGACCTAAGGGTATATGGGTGTAGGGGTAGGGTTCCGACCCTTGGCTTTCGACCGCTCCGCTGGGAATATGTACGGCGTTTACGGGTAAAGTATCTGTATATGTGTCCAAAAGGAATGACACAAATGCCGTACAGTAATAAATGACCTATATTGCTCCTGCAACTGTCGTCAATTAAAAATTTACCGATTCCGGCACCATCACTTTTGTACGGCACTAGGTTTTTCGACATTTATTTTTAATCATCTATACACTTATAACAAAGCCTACATTAATAATTAGTCGAAATTCCCCCCATAGAAAGTCCATTCACTCACGTACTCACATGTACCGCTCAGAAATGACGGCATAGTGCTCAGAGCTATTTTCAGATATAGTAACAGCCTTCTAAGCGTAATTCACGTTGGGTCATTTCACTATTTTTTGTTCATGGGCTGTGGATATCATTATTGGACAAGTCTATCTTTGAAACTGAAATGTCACGGCTATAGAACTCAAAATTCAACTTAAAACCAACTAATCCTTTCGATTCATTTCACTAAGCGGTGGATGCGTATGCTCCATATTGCTCCTGATGATTGTGAGGTCATCAGCCAAATGAAGAAACGCCTTACATTTATGCCACCTGTTCTTTGTGCAACCCCATCGGAAACCATTTCGCGTCCGACTCTGCTTGTAGTATGAAAAGTTCTGGTAGATCAAGCGCTCTTTGCCCCGTGCCGTCATAAATATGTTCACTGAAACATCTATATCGGTAAATAATTGTTTGCAAGATAGGTCTCTGACACCAGTGAAACTGGTAATTTTTCGTACAATTAAAGTTTAGGTCTAAACCAAAGCTGAACTTACCTACAGCCTAAACGATTGAAGAGATACTAATTCAATTATAAAAAAATAGAATGCCATTTAAATACCAAAATATTTATTTTGTATAAGCGATTTAGATGTAGAAATAACAAGTCTGAGAAGAGAGTTTCTTGCCAGTTCTCGCCCGCCTTACACCCTTAATTTGGGAACTGGTAGTAAATGTACATTTGAACCTTCTAATTATGTGCCATATCAACATTCACCGTGTACCTATATGAATAAATAAATGTTGATTTGATTTGTAATGACTTATATTACTCGATAATCTTGCAAAATAAACAGATTTATTTTTAATAATTTAAAATATTTTTTGCACTTTTGCTTAACCCTCGTTCAATACTCAATTTTGCAGCTTCACAATCTCTTCCTCCATTGACTTCCGGCTTTGTTTCTTTTAATTTGTATAGCGTCCATACTTTTAAGTAACTAGTTTTTTTTTTACGTTTATATTTTCTTACATTTTTTCTACATCTCGGGATCATTAATTTTCTGATATCATAAGCTTTCCTTTTTCTTTCTAAAATTTATTCTCTCTTACTTTTCTTCTTTCTCTTACTGACGACCAAATCCCATGTTACCTCTCTTTGAGAAATTAAAATTATCAAATATACGAAATGTAATTAATGCCTTCCTAATAAACTCAACATTTACTGTATATAATATATTATATACGTATAGGTTTTTAGTCCTTAACCCTTTCTTAATACATAAGTTCCATTAGTTACTCGAACTCTTTTTTTGTATAATTTTTGAAGTCAGAGAAACACCTAATTACTGGCCTTAATCGATTTGTAAGGTAAAAAACTGTTCTAACAATGACTTGATCAAACATTGTGATCCTTAAAAATATGGTTCGTGTAAATTAGGAGCTTGTTTTTCCTGATATAAATAAGACTTTGGTTGAAGCGGTCCGTTGACGGGCATTACAATAAATTCTTACATCTAGAATTGCACAACCGAAGGAAAACACACCATGCGTGTAATATATCCTTAGTAACTATTACCTTTTAACATAATACAGTTCTGTATTCTTTTTAATCTTTATTGAGGCTTCATAAAACGGTAATTTTATCTTACCATTTTTTTTTTATATAAAAAAATGGTAATTTTTTTGTGTAAGTGTATCAAAAACACCATCGGTATTCAAGTATGAATAATGGCACCAGAATATTAAACTAGCTACTATCTTTATTAAAGAATAAAAATTCGACAAAACCGCTGCACATCTTCGTGAAGAAGTTTCACTTCAAATAATTAAACCGCAAGCCAATTCTTTGTCGTCTATTCTTAAAGCAGTTCTTTGTTTAATTTTGTTCTAGTATAATTCCTGTCCACAGTCATCGCTGTAGTTTCCATATTTTGGTTCTTATTGTTTTTTTCATCAATTGTGTGGGAAGCCTCTTATAAACATGATGATGTATTTGTAAATCATAATAACCTATGTTTAAAACCGACTCTATGATATATGCCTTTCACTTGTGTTAGTATGGGTTTCTCGTGATTGTGACCCGCCGAGGACTGAGACACAACATTGAGGTCTCCGTCAACGGATAAGTATGAGTTACATCGTTTGGACATATATTGTCCAGTACACCTAAACCGTGTATAACCCTCCCTCGATAATTTATTTATTGTACTGTAAGTACATCCATCATAGTAGAAGTGTTGTTTGCCAGACGCCACCGTTATAATTTTTCCTGTAAACAAATTATTTTGTTATTTAATATTATGTACCGTTAGTAATATATTGATGAAACTATATTTGCACATGGTCAATGCGTCAATATTATTTATAAAACAATTTTTTTGTAAATTGCGCTTATCACTAGCTAATACCAACCCAAGGCTCGCTTCAGTGTAACAGTTTTCAGAGTTCGGACAATGTTAAACTGCTAGACAAAGCTTTTTTTTAATTTAAATATTATATTGTTTTACCTTTATATATTATTTTTCATTATTCTTAATGTTTAGTACGTCTGTTGTAGTGACGTTCGTTACTCCATACGATACGAGATTCAACTATTTTTTAATTAAAAAGGCTATTTGTTTCTCAATGTATGTCTATTGAGTTAACATGTTATTACATTAAATTAAAACTTAAAATATCATAAAAGTTAATAGCTATAAACAAAAAAAAATAATTTTAAAATTGCTATAAAATGCTTAAATTAAGTCTAATTTGAAAATATTATTCGAATATATGTAAAATACAATTTGTTATACCCATCACAGACCTACTTATGAATAAGATAAATTAATTTCACTTCAAAAAATCAGTCAAAATTTATACATATTATCGTCAATAAATACGCAATTAAACGAAACAAATCTATAAGAGATAAACGCAAAGTCTTTATTTCCTAATTCGCTAACAACTAGATACGGCCAGCATTCACCGGTACATAAAGCAGCTTATACATAGAAAGACTCGGTAATAACGTTATTTCTTATTATAAAGATTAAATTCCATTGCTACTGCTAATATAGGAGAATTCTGACATTCTACGAAACAAACACAAGGCGAATGTTACATATACAAAGTTTCCACTTTTGGCCTGGCCATAAACGGTGGATAATGGGTATGACATATTGTAGGTGCGTATATGACCTTAAGCTGATCATCTAAATGCAAATAGGCTGTGCACTTCGCTCGGCTATGGCGAGTACATCTCCACCTGGAGGCTCCACATTTGCTTAAATCCTTCTGCTTGTAAAATGAATAACCTTTGTAATAGAAAATCTGTCTTCCCCTCCTTCCAAGCGCCAGAGGATTACCTACGAAAAAATAAAGTTTTAGCATTACGGTAATTCATAAACGTTGAGCAAAAAGTCTGGTTTTAGTGCGAACCCTTTTACAACACCATGTATACACGTTGATTCTTTTTTTATATTAAGCACATCGGGTAAGAATGATAAAATATTGCCCATATGAGAATGACTAAAATAAATAAACATATTGACTATAACTATATTTAATCTTAATATATATATATTTCTTCTGTGCGTGTGTATGTGACTGAACTCCTCTCAAACGACTGGACCGATTTTGATGAAATTTTTTGTGTGTGTTCAAGGGGATCTGGGAATGGTTTAGATTCACAAATCAGCTCGATAGATGGCGCTGTAGTCGGTACTTTCATACTTTTATATCCTAATCGCTTGAAATATCAAGCAGGACAACGTCTGTCGGATCCGCTAGTATATATATATACTCAATAGTAGATTTAATAACCCACTAGGAATACTTCTAAAATTGTATGGAAATTAGTTTCGATATTATTTCGTCGTAATTTTTAAGGAACGATTTTATTTGTTTTGTTAGAAATACTTTTTTTAAGAATCACCCAATACACACGCAAAGAGTTAATAATTAACCGGTAAGTGTGGTTGCGTAATTTAAACGATTGACGTATAGTATAGAATGACTTTAGTTATAACTTATTCACCTGTCTCTTTTCCTTTTAGCGAAAACACAATTTAACAGAAAGAGACAAAAGTGTACGGTTTAAAGAGTGCAATGAGTTTTCATAAGGGATTAAGACTTGAAAGTGAAATGAGCAATTTGAGATATAATGTTTAATTTCACATCAAAATATTTAAAATACGTTAATACTATTTGACTAGATAGACAATTGAATTGCATACAACAATTTATGGCTAATTACATTCACATAAATGTAAGAGACTAATATCTCGCCAAACTGGATGTTAATCGACATTTTCAAGTACTTAATTGCCGTTTTGCTGCCTTGTGCTTAAGATATAAATGACTTATGATTACCCAGTTTAGTCCGTTTTTTTATTTCTTATTCTATTACGTAAAACCTACTACTAATACGTAATTATCACTATTAATACTGATATAATATTAACCTTAATTAAAACATTGAGATCCTCAAAAAGTCTTTTAGAAAGACAACTACATACTCGTAGGTGACTAGAAAACAGTTAAAACAATAACAGATAGAGCTGTGTATAACAATTTTAAAATAAATATTCTTACAAATTTAATAAATATGAAAGATTGCACATTTATGACAACATTGATATCTACGTACATGATAAATTATAAATTTAAACCTTTATATATGTTCCGTCTTCTCGCTGTTTGAATTTAGATGGTAGATGATTGTGTCGCTCACTTCCGATGGCAACAACAGTATTATTATCGATAGTGGCATGAACATAGGCATTACAGGAATTCTTGTTGCAACACCAACGATTCAATGGAGACGATTTCAATACATGTCTGAAGTAATATGGGTAGTTGTTCACAATCAACAGCTTCTTTCCGTTATGCAATTCGATGAGCTGAGTCTTAGCTTTTCTTGGCTTAGTAGAAAATTTAATATCGATGGGATCGGCTGGTTTAGCACGATCTTTCGAATTAGCCTTGGTATCGGGAGACTTATTCTTCTTCGAACGCTTATCTTTTGGCCTGGAAGTAGTTCGTTTTTTAGTCTTAATACTTCTGAGTGGAGGGACTTCCAGCAAAGTCGGTACCGGTATCGATTGAGGATCAATTCTAGAGCAGGAGAGGTTCGAAACTTGGCAAAAATCTTGAGACAGCACAGTGTATGCATCAGGAACCAGTTGAGATGTGGATGACATAGGTTGGTACAATTCAGGTGTTTGAGTTGGTGGTAGGGTATTGTATGCATCATACGGCGCGGACTCTATGTAGATTTCAGAAACGTCGTTAGGATCAGATACAATATTGTACATGTCCGTGTTATGGTGTGATGTAGTTACCACGTTCAGTATTTCCTGAGCCTCTTGCGATGACATAACGTCAAGCAGATCCGCAGTTTCTTGGCACGTAGTTGATACCACGTCTAACGCTTCTGGGAGATTTTGGGACGTAGGCACGACGTTGTATAGCCCAGAAAGTGTTTCGTCATTACAAAGGATATTGACCAGTTCTGGAACGTCCTGACTGTTTTGTGACAGCATGTTGAATATATTTGGTACGCTATCGAGTGTTGTTGCGTACACGATGTTCATTTCGTCAGACATGTCTTGAGATTTCACCGACATGTCTTGATAATTCACCGACACGTCTTGAGATTTCACCGACATGTCTTCATAATTCACCGACACGTCTTGAGATTTCACCGACATGTCTTCATAATTCACCGACACGTCTTGAGATTTCAACGACATGTCTTCATAATTCACCGACACGTCTTGAAATTTCACCGACATGTCTTGATAATTCACCGACACGTCTTGAGATTTCACCGACACGTCTTGAGATTTCACCGACATGTCTTGATAATTCACCGACACGTCTTGATAATTCACCGACACGTCTTGAGATTTCACCGACATGTCTTCATAATTCACCGACACGTCTTGAGATTTCACCGACATGTCTTGAGATTTCACCGACATGTCTTTATATTTCACCGACACGTCTTGAGATTTCACCGACATGTCTTGATAATTCACCGACACGTCTTGAGATTTCACCGACATGTCTTGAGCTTTCACCGACATGTCTTGATTCTCGGTGAACGACATGCCAACGTCTGAAACCAAATAAATTGATGTAATTTCTGTTCATAATGTTATTCAAAACTTTCATATGTATGGAAAAGTATATATTCATTATAACAATGCATTATCATGTTTAAGATTGGGGACCCCCTTAAGTAAAAATTACTTGTCTCAAAGTTCTCAGCTCTTCCATAACAATTTTTTGCATGTATAAACATTTGGTTAGTCTAAAATTAAAGACTCTTGACATAATTAATTGTTTGTTTATTCAAACCGGATATATGCATAATTTTACATTAATGCTACTTGTAAACCATATAAATAGAGATACAGCAAAGATTTGCTTAGATATTAACTGAAGCAAACAAACGATTGCAACCATTTAGAAGTTCCACAATACAAGATCGTTTAAGCTAATAATGAAGCCTTATTTGATGGCCTACATATACCTTCTTAATGGCTTCGAAAATATATATTTCATCCACAAGATATCATTTATAAAATTCAATTATGCAAAGGGCATATAGTTATTATGAGGCACTTGAAATTTGTTCACACAAATGGTACTTTTTTTTCGTTAAATAAGCTTCCTTTTTTTAAGTTGGTCAAAATATCGAATACTTTATCATCTACCTGAGAAGTTGGCCAGATACGTGTTGTAAATTATGGTTCCTTAGTACTATGAGGACCTATTATTATGAACTTTGTAATAACTTCCACTAGGTGTTTTATACATTAAAGGAGGCCGATGGGTGTGGTCGTCTCGTACATATATCACCTCCAGTTCACTGTTAACGCGCAAAAAGGATTTACACATTTGATGCGTAGTACACAACCATCTGGAGTAAGAATTTGTTTGTCTCTGCTTGTAGAACGTATAACCTTTATACAACAATTGTTTTCTTCCATTTGATTTTGTTATCACTTGAGCTGAAATAATATTAACAATATAATGTTACATTGACAATTATGTCCAAGTATGTCGGAACTCATTTAGGTTCAATGCCCTTGATCTCTCTATAAGTAATACTCAGAGTTGAGTCTCGATTTAACGAGCCTCCCTAATGCGTCGAAATCACTCGGCTTTGGTTGGTTTAGCTTGTCTTCCATACAATGATACACTCTACATAGCATTACACGTAACCTCAAAAACGACAACAATTAAATACTAAAAAGTACTTTTTAAATTGCCGAAGTTAGTTAAAGCTGCGGAGCTGTGTACGTTGTTTTGGCGCTTTATTGTCCTAGCGAGAAATATACTCGACTGTCGGTACTCGTCATACGTACCGAACTTTTGTTGACAAATTCCGCTTGCTTGAGAGTCCTGAGAAAACCAGTGCCTATAACATTTTACTAAAAAAAAAAAACTTTAGAGGTGTCAAGGGACACCCGGATGGAACGAAATTCCTTTCGATTAATTTATATGTTAATTGGTATCATAACAGTATGATAGATTTTCTCGACACCAATCTTACGACGAAAAAAAAAAAAAAAAGCCAACATCACGAGGTGTTCTCAGGCGGTCACCCATCCAAGTACTGACCTCGTCCGACGTTGCTTAACTTCGGTGATCGGACGAGAACCGGTGTATTACAATAGACAAAAAAAGTGTCGTGACAACTTTTCGTAAGAATTTTTTCCGTCTAGCCCCCTTTCACAACGCGCGATAAGGAAGTTCGTTCCAATATTCTCTTTTCATAATTCATAACTCTTTTTATAAACTCCCGTTATAATTTTAGTATAGACTTCAATCATTATAAAGTTGTTCTTATATTGATAAAAATAAATACAACAAAGCATTATATAATCATTCATTTATTCAATTACAAGGAAATTATAAGGCAACCATTACCCCAAACCTCTCACACATTGAAATAATGAGGCATAAAAATAAATCAGAATTCATCCGTCAATAAGAGCCAAGTCATTATTAACAAGGCATTTAATTATTATGCAACAACAAACTAGCAAATAGTATGGTAACGTTCTAGCTAATAAACCCTCCTTTCAAACTGTTAAATTGGATATAGCTATATAAGTTTTATGAGTAATATTATATAAATATATATAAAATAAAAATTCCAATTAAGCAATACCTATATACCCTACGTATAACCAATTAATAATTACCTTAATAAGGTATTGTATAAAAATGGATTGGTTAAAACCGGCTAAAGTTCATTGCTTCAATATTTTTAGGATAACATTCGAGAAAGCCAAGCATTTTAAATGTCAAAAGCCTATTGGATTTTGACATATGAAAGTCACACTTAACGCTGTCTATACGTAGAGTCCTGTACTTAGGCCTCTGCCTCACCGGGACGCCATGGCCACGTCGCCGGCTACGTATCCAAACAATAAGTATTCACATGTATGGCACCTCACTCACTTGGCGACCGACTGGCGACGTCGCCAAGTAGCCAAGGTAGCCAAAGTCGACCGCTCCTGATGCGGCAACTGGGTACCTGGCGAATTAGCACACTATAGCACTTTTTTGCTTTTACATAGTCTCTTAATTATGTTTTTTACTTAGTTATCCTGAAAGAAATTGTTAGTAAAGCTCCTGCTCTCCTAATTATTAATATTTTACTTAAAAAATGATTTTAAAATTTGATTTAAAATGATTTAATAAAGTAATTATTATTATTTTATTGATTATTTTACTATTATTTATTTTTGATTTTGATTTTTGAGTCGAGACAGAACTGAATCCATTGGCGCCGCGATTTGGCGACGCAGAGACGCCAAACGTAGCCATGGTAACGTCGTTGGCGACGTGGCCATGGCGTCCCGGTGAGGCAGAGGCCTTATAGTCGAGACCTATGACTCTCTTATGTCAAACATTAATCTAGAGTAGCCTCTTGCTCGACATACAGACTGATCCCTCTTTTAAGCTTTGTATCCGACAGTCTTCCCTTGACGTACTTCCCACAATTCATCCTATAGAGTTTCGGGGGATCGTGATTGTGAAAACACTTTCCACTTAGTAGGAAATTCGAGCACGCATCAATGTATACAAAAGCTTTACACTTCGGATAACAAGTACACAGCCATCGGGATTTATTTATCCCTTTCCTTTGATTGTAAAATGTATAACCATTGTGAAGAAGCTGTGTTTTTCCATTCAGTAAACTTATCAAACGCGCTGTAAGAAATTTATTTCATTTAACAAAGTATAAATTTGAGGGCAAAATTTTACTTACCATTTTTTTAAAAGCAACGATTAGTCTTCTGTGTCGAAACCTTTGGCGTCACTGTAGAATGATAACCTCGTATATCAGAAAACCATTCATTTTTTATTCTAAGGGTATGTTTCACAATGTATAGATAAAGTACCAAATAGCTATCAACACAAATTATTTGGAAGATAAATTGTGTTATTTGACATTCATCGGACTCATAACTTTTGATGGACTTTATGTGACGAGTAGCGCTATCTGACAGTCGTGAAATGCAACAATAGTGTTTATCCTCCCAATAAGTAATAAATAGCTAATTTGGAACTTATGTAGAACTTATCCGTACATTGTGAAACTGACCCTAAGACTCTTATGTCATGTAACTGGTATAATCATAAAGTAAGGACTTAAATTTATGTTATTAATCAATAAGTCCTTTTTACCATCCAAAACTATGAACAAAAACACATATAAATATATTTACGAACATTGACGAAATGAAACATTTTTGCGTTTCCTGTAATGTTTGGTTCTCTGGACATACGAGGTTATCATTCTACAGCGACGATGTAGAAAACACCAACATTATATTTTTAAACGAAATTTTTGTTTGTTTTGCTCTCGCCGTCTCTAGTTACCTTTTCCTTATATTCACGGATAGATTTAGAGGTAAGAGTCCAATAGGAATCCAAAACCTCTCTATTAATTAACTGTAAAATACAATTCTATTACCAGTAATAACATCATCATTCCAATTACGATATCTTATATAAAATAACATCTAGGCATGTGATTTCCAACCCTTTTTGTTGCTATGCCTTAATTAGCCTATCTAAAATTCTTATTCCCATAGATAGGTTTCAGGAAGAAATTACTAGGAAAAGAAAATTTTGGAATAACCCTCGTAAACAAACGTTGAGAAACACCTGTAGGCTAAAACAATGGTTTTGGTTAAATGAATTAACATATATAAACTAAATCTGCTTATTTACAATAAATAGATAAAATCAAAGTTAAGACATGCGTAAATAAAGTCAGGAATTTTAGAAAGATTTTATTAAAAGAGTACCTTAAGATATACAAAATAATAGCAAATTAAAATGCAGTACATAAATGCAAGTGATGTTTATACGAGATCTATACATCACAAAATCGACACAGTCTTAAAAATACTAAAATCGACAATCACAAACCTAATACTGAATAACTTCATTGAGTAATGTTAGAAAATATATTCTATATTAAACGAACAGACGTACTCAGAGGCGTTTAATATCGATTAAAAATCTAATTAAAGAAAAGAGGAAAGTGTTAGTTCATGATTTAGAAAGCAAAGGACACCAAGCTCTCGTTTACTTTTAAACGTCTCTAAGTACCGCCGATGGACACATAAGTTTGCAAGTGTTTTTAATAGGTAATTTGCGCACACTATTCCTAAGCTAAAATCTTGTAAAATTACGTGATATACAGTAACTATTTTACCAAGACACTTTACATGTATGAATAATATGATCATGACACGACAGTTATAACCTTTTACCAAAAAAATATAGACTTCAGAAAGTTCCAAAAAGTAATACAAAACATGAGACCTGAACGCAAAAACTAACCTAAACCCAATAACTACAAGGCACTTTCAATCTACAATACATTGCCAATCAAAATCAGATCTCATACCAGCATCAGTATTCTGTAACTTCCAAAAACGAACCCAACATGAGTACCACGCGAGGAGACATGAAGCTTATCGAGAGAACTGAGAAGTTATAGATTACCGGCGCTGTACAGTCAAGTCTCACGAAAAACCATGACATAGGATTTTATAAATCGACCTTACTTTTACATCGGTGTAAGAAATTTGAGAGATCAAACAAAAAGTTTTATTCAAATACAAATTTAAAATGGTAACAAGCGATCGGGTTCATGCACTAAACCTATACTTATATTACGTTTAAGACTGGCAAACCCATCACGTATATATTTAAATGGCAAGCGTGTAAATAATAAAAGAGATCTTGTTAGATGTGGATACACTAAACTTATAGTAATCTAAATGTTGCTAATACATGAGTTGAACATAAAATTTATATCTATTATTAGATTCGTCATATATCTTATTTTAAAAGAGGGTACACAATTGCGGGTACACGTAAAAAAATATAAATAAAAACAAAATTTGAGCGACGTGATACATGCTGCCTTAGGCCGTTTCTCCACTGCTCCGGTCCGGCAAACGTTAATTACCGATCCGATTTAGAAACTCACAACAGTACTTACGTACTTCTCCACTACTCCGGCATCCGGTTTTTAACGATCCGATAACTTGCTAGATCGGAACGCGGTGTTTTATCGGTCTAAGTATATCCAAGTATCCAAGAGGTTATACATAATTATTCACAGGTTTATTTATAGTTTGTTTAATTTGAAAGAATCTGGATAACCTGGACAAAACCAAATTATGTTGCTATTTATTTATATTTTTGTACTATAGTATTAGTGAACTATTTATTAAATAATAAAAAAGTAATAAACTTGCCAGGGCAATAAAATATTCAGAATTTAGAACGTTTTATTAATAAAATAAAGTATATGGGTTTTAGTTAATATAAGTGTTGCATGATAAATATACAAGTATCGATTATTGTCGGATCGGATATAGTGGAGAAGCGCAGTCCGGCCTTCTGATATTTTTCACATGACTCATTCCGGTATCCGACGCCGGACCGGAGCAGTGGAGAAAGGGCCTTACGCCTAACTTTTCATTTAAATTTATGAGGGTGGACTATAGAAATTAATATTATGCAGTGTTCAGGAGTAGTGCAGAGAAAATATTTTCTTTATAGAGTATTTTTTTTACTATTATATTCCTTACAAAGGAGTTTAACTAGAAATCATAGGAACTGTTACAAAAATTAATAGTTATTGTAAACACTGTGTGCGACTAAATAATCGTGTAACGGCGTAAGCGACATAGGGTTTACGGGGGCCGGGAGGCCATTTTCTTTATTCTTATTACCATTTTGAATTGGATGCAATAAAGGAAGCCTAGGGTCTTTCTTTAGGCTGGGCGGGTGGCTGTGATTAATACTCGCTTTAAGAACCTCCAGTTTATCTGTAATGATCAGATGAGCCTTGCACTTCCACTTGGAGCCGTATGCCGTGCAGCTCCACCGATGCGCGTTGGTGCGCGCTTTCAGATGTTTGTAGAAGGTAAAGTTGTTCAGGCGTAAATTGATCCGACCATTCGGGCGTAGATAAAACTCAACTGTTGACAAAAAACTATAATCAGCACCGTTCAGTAAGAATTGTAAAAACGACAACTTTGAATATAGAACGTTCTAAAGGCAACCCAAAACTTCGTCTTCACTTTATAAATATAACACTTTAAACATTTTTACCACGCCCATGCGAAAATACGTCAATAATTTAACTTATCTATAAATACTTACTGGCGTATTGCATACGAAATGCGTTGTGCGCCTGTCAAAATACATGCAGCCGGAAATCGATAAAACTTATACATAATATATTATATGTCGAACTATAACGAACATTTACTATATGGCAAGGAAATTTAAATCAAAAACATTTCATATTCAAAATTTAATGTACAAAGCTTTTTTTTTGCTAAGCCTTTCGATTTTAATCACTGTTTGTAAAAAAATATAATAAGTATACAAAAATATCAAAACTAGCAAAATAGATCTAGGTAGGAAAAAAATACTATACAAGTAAATAAAAGTGACAATTTAATATCTACATACTTTATCGTTTAATATCAGCCCATATTAGTGCTTCACTAAAACAATTAATACACAAAAACTTTCCTTAAAAATAACAATGCAACTTTTTATTTAAGTCCCTTGAAAGCCCCGAGATAGTATCATTATTAAGTTGATAAATTCATTCCATGTTTAATTTATCAATTAATTAAGCACATAAGTATTACCAAGTATAAGTACTCAATATAAAAAATTGTTCGAAGTAATTTCGGTCGATATAAACTTGGTGAAATCGAAATTAGTAGACGAAACAGCAACTTCCTTTAATATCAGTAATACTTACGAGTCAAACCCTTATTAACATTCCCGAGAAGATACTTAGAAGGCTGATGTGTATGTACAACATACGCCCGCACAACTAGCATCTCCTTCGTCACATGCATGAAGGCCCTGCAGGACCTGGATCCCATTTGGGTGCAACTCCATCGAATCCCATCACGGAGATTCTTATGCGAGTAATAGGTGTAACCTTTGAACATAAGCAAATTCTTTCCGTTTCTGCTCTTCACCATAAGTACTAAAACGAAAAGGGGCATCAAATACCTTGGTAAGTTTACCACCTACCTACTTTGTTGTATTCAGATCGACGAGGCGACGGGGGAAAATCTCAATAGGAACAGCCCATACACATATTATTTTATAGTCACTAGGCTGAATAGGCTCTGGAGTGACGTCAGCTTTACTTTTAGGCACGATATGTATATTGATTTTATTTAATTGCCAATTTAACCACCACCTCGCCTGACGGTAAGCTACGCTGTGGTTGAAAAAGACGCACGCAGACTTACTGCATGATTTATTATTTATTTAAGACCGTTTTCCTTTAAATCACAGCGTAGAAACCATTTGACGGAAAGAGATAAGTGCAATTATTTTATGAACGAAGCTTTGGGAACAATTGTTTGACTATTGATAGGTAATTAAATATGAAAAGTAAAGTAAATGTTAATTTTATTCATGAAAATCTTTGAAACAATTTCTGTTTTTATTTAAGCAAAAGTGGCTTGCACATTTAGCGCAGGTTACATGTGACTTTTGCCTACAGTTTTTGCAACGCTGCCGATCGTTTGTCCAGGTAGGCCAGTGGCCAATGTTGTCATCAGCCCATTGAGGAGGCAACTCTATGCGCCTTCGTTTTGTTTTTTTACCTTTTTCATCAGAGCGTGTGGTTGGTGTGAAAGGGACTGTTTTTCTTATAATCAGCTCTGCAATATATAACTTAAATTCAAGAAGTGGCATACTCGTATAAGTATGTTACCATCTTTGTAAATTACGATTTCTTCGTCGAAAATAAAAACGTAGGTAATAAATCTAGGGAAGAATATGCAAGAGAATACAATGATACCTCTTCTTGCCATATATTTGATTTAAAAACCCAAGCGTTATAAAATTCAGGAAGTATTATCTATTTTATTAGTATTATCCCTATATCCTATAAGTTTGACTTTAATACAATTTGCTACAATACGGGGAATAAAAAAAAACCTAACGATAACAAAATCGGGGGATACAGTTTGGCGATGTAATTTCGAATCTATCCTGTACAACTACTACTAGCTAAATATCAAATAATTTATTTGACGCAAGAACAGTGACGAATCGCGCGCGGTGGAGCGAAGCGCCGCCATATTGAGGTTTTTTTGCAATCAGACTTTTGACTCAGAGAAGCTAGGATGTTTGTTTATGTTTTAATCATCAGCTGTCAGCAGTATATAAACATTAGTTTAAATATAAGGTTACATAAACGGATTCACTACGGCCGTGTCTATGACGCAGCCACCCCCTATTTATAAAACATCTCTGTCGGACAAGAAATATTAATTCTTGTTTCTTTTTTGAACAAAATTTTTTATTGATGTATTTATTATAGTATTGTTGTATGCTTTATCATGTACATCATTTTTTCTATTTTATGTAACTATTTTTCCTAACCTTACTTAAATAGTATTTATTACTTCATATTCAAATCAAAAATTTGTTTATAGGTAACTTCTGTACACTTATAAACTCTTAATATTAAAGATCTAAATTTACCTGTTGCCAAACAAGGGCGTAGAGCGGGCTAGAAGCTCTCCGCCACTCTTTTTAATCGCCAAACTTTGGTAAACAATTGTAAGGCAACCGTTACGCCATGATTCACTTAACAAATAGAGAACACAGAAAATCTCCATTGCTGTTTTACGTTCAGATACAGACTACCACAATAACAATTCTCCTAACAATAAATAGACAACTCTTTTGACAGTTGGGAATTAGGGAATTGAACGTGATCCAAATCTGTCTAGATACGGAAAATGGTTTTTATAATCCTATAAAAAACTCACATAAAACAGAGTCATATAATCTAATTTACAGCATTACATTATTTGTTTATTAATGTTATAACATATTGCTAACAACATTTTTACTAAATCACAATTCTGAAATTGAAGAGAATTAGACATAATTTTTACTAAGTGTAAAACGTATGAAAACCCGATTTACGATTTTTCATACAAATATTAATGTAAACAGAATATAGTGACTGGCATATAAGTTGGCCATTTCTTAGATGCACAGATCGTTAGGTTTTCCCTACTCAAATACATTACCATGCCAAATCTGATCAAGTATCAAAACCAAGGGTAAGATTCAGAAACGCGACTGAGCCCGACTATCATAGGTCAATAATGGATTTTGAACTTCCTACTAAATCTCGATAAATGTTACCCCTAAAACTGTATATATAACTATATATAACTATACATAACTAGGCAGTACTTTACATCTGACATACATACTCGTACTATTATTCATCAAATACTTTGGAGGATAATGGGTGTGTGATTCCTTTTTTGAAGTTATACTTTTCCTTTGAAAATTTATAAGTGAAATTTTACGATGCCCCACCTATACACAAAATTCAGTTATTATAGCGTCCAATCTACAAAAAAATAGAATATAACTAACTTCACCATATTCTATTTCTTAGCTTACAACTTAACAAGAATTTTGAATATCCATGAAATTGACATCTGACAATGACATTTACCTTTTAAACAAATATAGGAGTTTGAATTATTGTTTAAAATAAAAGATTCTAAAAGTACCTAGTTATTTTCATTATACAAGTGCGAATTTTATATGTGCGTCTGAATTATAATCAAAATTGAATATCTAAATCAATACTAATTAATATGATAAAATATTTGTGAAAAAACTTGCCAACCTTCCTGAGTCTTCAATACAATTGAGGTTAACTATCCGTATGTATTATCGAGTTTTATTGTTGATTAAAACTAAACATGAACTTAATTAACTTTTGTTTATTGCGTTTGTTACACAACTTTTTAGAAATATTCTACGACCCTATATATCAATAATTGAGAACAAAGATTTAAGCACGAATACTAATAAGGAGAAAATGAAGGCTTGACATATTACAGAGAAGTAAACATTTTAATAAGTACCTGCATCTCAAAAAAATGATTACATTATTTAATCAAAACATGTAATTTTTCAGATTTAATCTAGCAAATATAAGGACAAGAGACAAAAAACAATTTCAGTGGAAGTGCACTAAATTGAATAAAAAAAAAGAGTTGTCATCTTATCGCCGTGAAACATCAAAAACAAGAGGTGGAACAAAGCCACCATCACCTTCTCCAGACACAATGGATATGGCAGAGATGATACCGCAACGGTTTGAAGTAGATTTCAATGAATTTGATTGTGATGGTGTCGAGGTAGGAATGTTAATTATAAATATGATGGTGATGTTCAAGGCTCAACCTCTCAACATAGGCACATACTTTATTCCCCTACAGGGTAGTTAGAGATATTGTAATACCTCAAAACATCCATGTTGCTCTTTAGTACCGAAACTCTGTCCAGCCAGAAGTGAGCCCATTCCCACTTATAATGGACAGTGGGTATAATACACCTTAATACCTGAGTGCAACCACTCACCATGACACTTAAATTAATAGATGTTATTTATATATTTCAGGATATTACAAATAAAATCATTTTGGAAACAATTGCTATCCCAAAAGCAAATAAACCAACAATGACAAGGTAATAAATCAGTTTTGACATAACTAGAATACTAAAAAGCCAAACAAAGGTGTGCACAACATGACAACATAACTTAACAATTTCATTATTTTGTAGGATTAAAGAAAGGTTAAAGAAAATCATGTCGAACTGATCAACAAGAATCCCCAAACAACTCAAAAGAAACCTACAAGGAAGACACCGGTATTATATTTAAATTATCTCTATCTCTAAATAGAATAAAAGAAAGTTGCTATCCAGGTCTGTAGCATGTGCTACAAATTATATTATTAACACATTTATATAATTATATTAATATAAATGTGTTAAAAATTTTATAATATGAATTATAAAATTTTTTTTTATTTTGTAAGAGAATAATTATAAATATTTATTTATTAAATTTTTCAAATGTAAACTGAACTTTATTGACTATAATGACTCCTTTTCCAGTCTTTTGATTATTTAATTATAATTAATTATTTGCATGCAATCAAAATCTATTTCTAATAATGCCAAAGAAGTATAATCTTCTTACGCGCGTACATAAGTACACGCACCTTTTTTTTTTAAGAAGCTTTCCTTCGTGGCTTATGACTAAAAACGCTGAGCAGCCTTTGGAATACTGACTGGAGCACTTCCAACGATAACCGCTCTTTACTGGGTAGTGTTTCGCAAATGTATAGTTATTAAACATCGCTACTTCTTTCCCCCTATGGCTTGAGACAATATATTTGACTGAAACAAATTACCTGTTTTAACATTCTATTATAGCACTAGATAACTTAAAAATGACCCTTTACCCTATAACAGAGATGGTTCGGGTCAAATTAATTTCTTTTGTTTGGTATTTGGTTTGTGTGTAATTTTTTTTCATTTGTTGTGTATTCTTGTACGTTTAGGGTCACCTGTTAGGACGGGATTGTGTTTTTTATAAATAAATTATTTCTTAAATAAAATTAATTTCTTTAAGGTCGCTCTGCAGTATTATAGCTAGCAAAAAAGCCTATATAGAAGCTATTTGAAGATAAAGATTCATAATAATATTTGCGTAGAAAAACATGTTTTTTTAATGATTAGGTATATTCTTACAAAGTAGACGTGCAACAATATAAGTTTAAGCATTAAGACATTTCTTTATATTATTATAGCATACCTATTGTTTGATTCTATTTGTGAACGTAATTACTATGAAAGAAGGTTTAATTTCAGATAACAATAAAGTTCATTTTTTGACGCAAATAACGTCTGTTTAAAAAATACTTTGTCTACATATTATACGTGTAACATTAACAATTGATTTAAGATACATTTTTATTTATTTAAAATTACGCCATCTTGTGGTAAGTGGCATAAAATTTGCATAATCACCTCAATTTTTCATTAATTGGCGCAAAACTTTTTGCTTGAACTGACGAGAGTTGAATACACCAAGAATATTATGCCTAAGGTTTAAAAGAAAAATTTGGCACGTGGAAGATATCACGCAATTAAGATGACTAGTAATAAGTTGTGCCTCAAACTAAACATAATCTTAAACATAAGTACATTTGACACTTACATTTACGCATAATTATTTCATTGAAAATATAAAATTAAGTTATAATTCTAAACTAATAGAGATACATTAAATAATACTTCCAACCTCTTACACAAACTAACTGAATTGGAATGACGATTTTAAGCTAAATATGGGTAATATCAACTATTGGATAAGTACAATTATCCTTTCTCTAAGCCTACTCACGTACATTTTATAATAACCTTAACCTTACTCCTTTGTAATACTTTCAACTGATGTGATAACAGGCAGGGTAGAGAAAGAATCGCGGCATCAGTCATTGAAATTATATTTAGTATAATTATCTTCATGATTATGAAAGCCCTTATGTTTGATGTAGCGTCCTTCCACCGTAGTCTGAACACAACTGTTGCAACCAATACGCTTCCTGTCTCTGCAAGTCCAATTTATTGTATTCTGATATCGATTATTAATCCAGTATTTATTCTCCTTGAAAATAAGAACCATACTGCCGCTTCGATGAGACGGTAGGTAATATATATCTGAATCTGAAACAACACTTAATTATAGTACACATTCAACTTAAATACCACCGTTAATATAATAATAGTATGAATTTGGGTAAACAGCGCCATCTTTTGACGAATAGCGTTGTTGAAAATCGACAATAGATGGCGTTGCACAGGAAGAAATTGGAGAGGACCTCATACAATAATACCAATTCAAAATGCATACAAGTAAGGCTACTTATTAAATTAATTATAATAAATAATATTACACAAACGTACGAGAATAAGATTGTATTCTAAAAATAAAAGATTATAAAACTAAAAATCATCTAAACTAGCAGGTCCCTAACAGAAACAGATGTAAGAATTGTCACTGTATAACCATCAATAAGTACATAATAATAGTTACATAATATTCTAAAAATACACTTAACAACAACGATTACTATTTAAATTGATGTATGTAATCTCCTAAAATCTTTTTCCCTAATATAACGTCCGTCATGGCACTGTCTTAGTCTGGGGGGCTCATGAATATGTCTGCCTCTAAATATTGAAATGTAGTCTCTACCATCAAGACCTCTGTATGTAATTACATCAGCGCGACATCCATGGACATCTCGGGAAGAGCAATACCATTGTTTTTTGCCATGAGCTTGATGGTTCTTCATGTAAAAGGTGAAGCCGTTGAGAATGAGAAGACCTGCTCCTGTCCGACCGGCTATAAACTGGGCTGGCACTGAGAGCAAAACAATAAAGTTACCGGTTTGATATAATTGCAATTACCTGTATTATTATAGTTGATGAGAAATGAAAATAACATTAACTAAATTCATTTGTCACAATTAAACCTTATATCCAAATAAGGAAAATATACCCCAAGATTACTTATGGTATATAGTCCTCTTTTATATAAATTAAATAGTGAGAAAGCATATTCAATATTAATTTAAGAAAATGCTTAACCACTGGTGTAATAATTCATTGAAGTTGGCAGGGGGTGAAATAAAGTGATGACAAATCCCAAAGTTATTTATTTTTACTGTCTTTTTCTGGTTGGATTTAGGAGAGTGTGATAAATAAAACACATATACAATAATAAATTACTTCTTTTTCTTTCTTTTTTTTCAATAAGGAAATGGTAATTATATGGAAATAAAACGCAAAATGTATTGTATCATTCGTTGTAGTAAAGATAAGCTAAATACATATTATATCCCTGAAATATTCCAAAGTTCCTGAAGTATGTTTTTTAAACGCAATAGTAAAAGTAATGGCACTATTGTTTATTCATAAAAATAATTTTAAAGAACATCCAAAAGTCCATATTGTTAATTTCAAATAAAGTGAAATTAGTGTGTGTTATTAATATTTTTTAATATATAAAAAATAGTTACAAAAAAATTTGTAAAAAAAGGCTGTACAATTGTATCTCCAAAAACGGCCTTGACATATTAATATGTGATTTTAGTAGTTCTGAAATTTCTTTTATTTTAGACTTATACCAAACATTCTTAAAATCAACCACTGATCATTATCTCCATGCCACTTTCAATCTTCTTTCATTAATCTCTGGTATTCAAGCTCAAATAACAAAAATAGATTCAAACTTTCTTGGAGCAAAGCCAGTCCTTTTTTTAAAACTTCTACATCCTCTAAGTGAGGCCTACACATCTGCTTTCTTCTATAATAATATTTAATAACATTATGAGGATTGTGCCCCTAAACCAAAACAATTAGTGGTTTCCCAGGGCATTGAACTGAAAATTGGAAAAACTAACGAGAATTTACAGTTATGATGGAAACCGAGAGATCTTATTATTGGGTATTGTACCTAAAAATTAGAATTTATATTAGGAGTAAATATAATTACAGGATTATTGGCTTGAACACAACTACAGTCCTTAATAAGGCTCTAACTTCGCAAAAATATCCTAGATATTTTAAAGTGATCAATCATACTTTAAAATATGACATGAGAGTGGCATATTTAAAACTAGCTGTGCCCTGCGGTTTCACTTGCGTTAATCTATTTGTCATGTGATGATATGTATACTAAAGCCTTCCTAGTAATTGATTTCTAACATAATTACAAATCAAACCAGTAGTTTATAAGATTCATGCCTACTACCAAATACTTCTTCAGCTTTATAATATAGTCATAGAGATAATTTTTTTATCTGGGAATCGAACCCAGGCATTTAACTATAATTAAATCATTGCTTCTTTAATCATAACCATAATACAAAAGATAGCAATGTATAAACATTTTATTCTTCTATCTGGGAATCGAACCCAAATTCTTACATGATATGTCTTCATAACACCTCTCTCGCCATAATATCATTCTTTAAATTTTAATATTTATTTTAAAATTGTTCTTATACATAACAATACTGAAAACTCTTACCATAACAATACAACACTAAACATATTTATTGCTCTAACCAAAAACATATTCTTTATTATCTTTGGGATATTCAAAGCATTATCTTTGGGAATCGAACCCAACAATAATGCTTATAAATGTGTATACTCACTATACCTACATGAGTTTGTCGGATCGAGTGCTAGCTACTTGGGAGTCGAACCCAAAACTACATAAAACTATGAATATATTATTCCAAGTCTTACCTCAATGTAAAAATAGACAAAGAGGAGCACAAACAGGCAGACTTCACTTCTCAACCATAAAGTAACTTAATAGAATCATCAAAGAGCTATGAATTTATATCATTGTTGTAAACAAACTTTCATAATTACAATTAATTACAAGAAAGTAGCTATCTGTAAAGTTATCAACTAATAGCACACACTATTTTATACTTGAAATTAACAATTCTAAAGAAAATAACACATTTTTGGAAACTTTTAAGATTTAGGTATACAATAAAAACATAGGCAGGTAACTTCATAAAATTTTGCTAAAAAATCGTAAGAGGGTTTATACAACTTTTGGACATCCTTGAAGGGTAAAACTTACAGACTATTACTCACCGAACTGCTACCTCGGATCAAGCATAAAACCCCTAAACGGGGTAAAAGCGGGAACAAAAAATAACCTCAACTCTTCATAACAACAACACTTTCTAACACTCTCACCATGATAACACATTAATGCAAAGCTACTTAGGCAACTTATAGCAAATATAAGAGGATTTATTGATATCTTACTCACTTTTTCACCACACAAACCCGTACAAAACACATATTAAGGAATTGACGTTCTTACGTTTTAACTTAATACCGTGATTGTAGAACACTGAACACACGGTTGCCACGATTACCGCTTGGCAAAAATATTAACGAATACGCGATACGCGAATATTTCATTTGGGATGCCTTGCGATGATAAAAATTAATAATAAACATCGGAAAACAACAGTTATTTGGCATCAAGAGAGTTATTTTGACACTTTCAAGTTTCAACGTAAGGCAGAGATAAGAGAGTTTGATCTATCTCGTTGAAGCTTGTTACAGTATTATCTCTGGATCTATATATTCATCCAGAGATTATACTAGGGTTCTAATGATGTTCCAACCGCTAAAATCGTGGTAATCGGTAATTTTAACGCTCACCATGCTCGGCTCAGAAATTACCGATCACGCGGAATGTTTCCTTCAAGACTTTGCTTTACTCAAATCGTCCTGCGATTACGCGAATACTAGACGTGTATGGTCATAAACCCCTTCTGCTAACGCCTAACTTCGCATCCGGAGAACTACAAAGTCTCTGTTGATCCCCCATTGGGCTCATTGGATCAATAATAATCTTATTGTAATATATGTTTTTTTTTGGTAAAAACACAAAAAGAAAATGTGTCTTTTCCATACGCATTTCTGTATGGTAGACATGTGACTTAACTTAGTTTAATGGTTATTAATAAATAATACAACACCATTTTTGTTGATAGTTGATATTTTTATTCATTCAATAGGTTGAAGAAAATTTGAAGAAGAGAAGAGTATAAAAACTATGGCAGTTTACAAAAGAAGTCTGAAAATATATAGGTATATGACTTTAAGAAATTGTCTAGCCCTTTTCTGGCTAGAGCTTGAGCAAAATTAAAACCAGGCCTAAATGAAAATGTATTTCAGAATTTAAATAAAAAGAGGAAAACTGCTTTTCAATGGCTGGCCATGCGTTATACTCGTGAACGGGTGCTACTTGTGGTGACTGGTCGTACTTGAATTCGTGTATGCGGTGATGTTAATTATTTCGACTATGTGTTTGCGTGTTGTTCCCACGAGAATGTAAGTGCGTGCTCCTATTTCACCATGCCTCCTGCTGATAGAGGACAAGTCTTTGTTTTTAATTTATGTTATTATTATTAATTACTTAAGATGTCATGTGGAACATGGTGTAATGGTTGCAGCTCCTTACAAACGATGTATAAAATAAACATGGCGATTAAAAAGAGTGGCGGAGAGTTTATTGCCAGTTCATCTCTTTCGTTCTACGCCCTTGATTTGAGAACTGGCAGTAAATGTAAAATTAGAAGCATTAATATGTATTTCTTTCATGACGAATCACAAGTGTACACTGTGTTACCTACGTGAATAAATGATTTTTGAATTTTGAATTTTTTGAATATTTAAAAAAAACAATAAAAGTAATAAATAATATTTTACTCCGAATATCTATCTACATATACTAATTTAATAATATATTACGCTTAATGCTTTAGTGTAGTAACAAATACACTGACTAATTATAATCTAAATAGTGTTACACTTAAATTTAAAGATTACGAAATGGTCGATGGTAATTTGAATTACTATGCATAAGCGAGTTATGGTCATATATTAGTTAGCACAGCTATCTATATGGCTAACTCGCCAGGGGACGCTAGTGCGCCACTATATCGATTGTGATGTCCTATATTATGTCCTCTATGTCCTATATTTATTTATATATATATAACGTACTATATAGTTTTGTCTATTGCCGTAACGATTGTATTAAAAAAAATATGGAAACTCTATCAGGCAACATTGTTTACAACCTTTACGTCAATTTTGAATATCTAGATGGCGTGTAAATAACAAGAGGAAATAATATTTCAAAGAAACGTCGATCTAGGTTGGATTCTATAATAAATTCATACAAAAATAGTGAACATTTAAAATATGTAATTGTAATGAATTCGGTTGTTAGCACCATCTGCTGTTATAATGAAGTAACTTGTAGAAGCGTGATAAAGATGAACCATTATTTATTTCATTTAAATATTTAAACTAGATAGCGCTGGACAAAATTAAATAGAATGACGTATTGTTCGGTAATTTGTTGTTGTTTTTTGATAGCGAATTTTGGAACAATTATTACATAGGAATACTAAGTAGACAAATATTTAAAAAAACATAAAAAATTTGCATCGGCCGGGAATCGAACCCGGGCCGCCCGCGTGGCAGGCGAGCATTCTACCACTGAACCACCGATGCTTGGTATACATATGTGAATTTTGAGTATCTATTCAAATTTTTATTGTAAACTGTAATTAACATTAAAATTTCATCAAACGATATTTTTTTGTAGGGTTGTTTGCTCCAATTTGTATAGAAAATATATTGAATGAATAGAATTAAAAGATTATTATTTGAAGAATTTATTTTGCGTAACATATTTCAGCCATCACATTTTATATCATTTAATTAAGAGTTGGCAAAC